GAAAGCTCCTTCTTCTTCTTCTTCTTCTTCTTCTTCTTCCTGTGATGGACTGGTGTCCTATCCAGAGTGTATTCCTGCCTCACACCCAGTGTTCCCAGAATAGACTCCTTCACTCCCTTCACCACAACCCTGACCACTGGGCTTATTGACAACGAATGAAAGAATGAACTCATATCACATCTGACCACAATATATTTCACACATGAAAACCATGGGAAGGTGCACATGATTGTGGAGGTGCACCCTGGAAATTGTACATGTGAATTTAAGTAACATCATTTAATAATAATATGTTATAAATAAAATAATGTGAAAATAAAAAAAAAACAATGATATATCTGTTGTAAAAAAAAAAGACATGAAAAATAAGCATACATGTGAAGTGTGTAAAAAGCACATGTAATTTATGAACTTCATACGTGAAGTTCATGTGACTCACCTTTCCTCTTCCACTAGTCGGTGCTCTAACACACAGTGTGAAATACATGCGACAGTGTTTTACACTTCAGTATTGAAATGACAGACAGATTTCTGCACTGGTGAGTGTATATCAGTGTCAGAGAAGAAGAAGAAGAAGAAGAAGAAGGCTTTATTGTCATGTATACAAGTACAGTAAATTGAGATTCTTTTCTTCAGATATTCCGGCTCTGTTGAAGTCAGGGTCCGAACATAGGGTCAGCCTCTGGAGCAGAGAGGATTATGGGTCTTGCTCAAGGGCCTGAGAGTTGCAGCTCTGCAGTGCCGGGGTATGAACTCACAACCTATCTTTATCCCTATCACCCACCCACACACACACACACACTTATGGACTCCTCTTTATTACAGACTCTCATGTTTTGTGAGTTGTACTCTGTCCTGAGGACATTCTGTTCTTACATGTCATGTTCAAGATAAACTGATAGAAGATAGATAATTAGTATGTTTTAAGATAAGACTAAGATTCTCACTTTATTGTCATTATGCAGAGTACAGAGCCCGTGAAATGCAGGATTTTTGTATATCCCAGCTTGCTAGGAAGCTGGGGTCAGAGCACAGGGTCAGCCATGATACGGCACCCCTGGAGCAGATGTGGTTAAGGGCCTTACCCTGCCCATTTTACATGAAGTCTCATTTTATCGTATAGTCGCCTACGTCTTCACATGAATGCTTAAATAAAGATTGCTATATATTGCATTGACTTTCGCACACGTGGGCAGACAGGAAGTGAGGCGAGTAGTAGGCCAAAACAGAACCTGAGCTCAACTTCTGTACTTCCCCTACCTGAAGAAACGTCTGCAAATAAATCTCACCTGCTTCCAGTTTCTGTCTACAGCTCACTGAGGTGATACTTCTGGTGTGAAAGTCAACACTACTTTTTACTCACTTTTTAATAACTCTGAAGAGCTAGAAGAGTCCAGTCAGGGATGCTGAGGTTAAGATATAAGTGTATAATAAAAAATAAGTAAATAAATAAAGATGAGTTTAAGAATATTTGTAAAAATCATTCAAAAGTAATAAAATAACTAATCATTGAGTCATTGAATCATTTGAATAAATCATGCAAAATAAAAGTAACAGAATCTATAAGCAGTATATATTGAGCCAAGAGCTAAGGAAAAAACTCACCGGACCAAAGTTGATTATTTTTCTATAATAGCACGGCCCAAAGTGTCTTATTCCTCTTATACCACAGCAGTTTACCAACAATTACATTTTTTTATTTAGTAAAGTATATCATGCTTTTTTTAAAATTAATTTTTATTTACATTAAATGTTGTGGAACATCCAAAAAACATGTGAGTTCCTGTTCTCACTTTCATTATAGCAGCTATAAACAGTCATTCCCTCACCAGCCTCACCTTATTCTCTCTCCTGAAATTAATAAGACGAACAAACGCAGCTTGTCATGTTAACGAGAAACCGCAAAGCATAAACTCGTCTTTCTCTGCCCAGTTACAGCTTTATCTCTGACTGTTACAAAGAGTCTGACACTGGAGACTCCTCCCTTAAAGGTTAAATAAACATCTCCTTACAGAAAACTTCACCACATCAAAAATATGGTCTGCATCCGCAGTACAAGTTCCTGTGTATGAGCTGTTACTATGGAAACAATAGACATATTAAAACAAGAGCATTAATATAAACCTGTCATTTGCATTTGCGCTACTGTCAGAGCCGCTGTTATAGAAAATTAATCAACACCTTCTGATTAGAGAATTCAGCCACTCTGCAAAAAAAATATATTTTGCAGCATCTGACCTTTAATGTGATACAACGTCAAGCGCTTTGAAGGTCATACTCGATTAACCCGAGGCTTGCTCGTGACTTTTTCTTCCGCATGCATAACCATTTTATTCAGTCACGTACACGCAGCTCCTTTATTCAAATACTCAAATCCTCAATGTTCTCATGTGGTTTCCTGCTTTCAGCAGAATTAGCAGCAACACTAGTCTCAGTTCTTTGCCTTTTCTTAGCACTTAACATTCTGTCTTTTTCCGTTGCCTCCTCTCTGTTTCTCTCTCTCTCTCTCTTTCTCTGGTCTATGACTTGACCTGTATATATACTTAGCTTTGTGGTATTTTTGTGACTGAATATTTTCTGTGGTTTGTATTTTTGTGCTGTCGTGGCAAAAACTCTTCAATTCATAATAAGAAAAAAGACTTCCAAAGACAAGGGGTTCTGGACGCCAAAAATCAATAGACTTTATTGAATTAAATAACAAAGCCGAGACGCTGCAGAGCATCTGATCTACATAGTCGTGGCTCATGCTTTTATACAGCTCTGGAGTTTTCTCTTTTTTTCTTTTAATGACACACCTTCCTCTCACCACAATTATTTCACTGTCCCTTTATCTTAGTTTTAACCGTGGTGAAAGGTCAGTCAGTTTATTTTTCAAACAAACCTTAGCCTTCAAACATCAGCCTTCATTACACCACCTGCAAGGTCACACCAGTTTGTTTTCTTTGATTCACATACACAGAAATATCCTTGTAAAATCATAGGCATAAAGTCACTCTCTAAATGTACTAAACCTTATATTTGATTATACTTGCCTATTATTTTTAATTAAGAATGATCAGAAATGATACAGTGTAGTGTATGAGTAAAACTCTGAAAGTTAAGTACTTGCTTGAATAAATGAGGTGATTTAAGGTCATGGTTTAACACAAGATCACATTACAATACTGCTGCATAGATACTGATTGACATAATACTGATTTCAAATACTGATTGACAAATAATATTGATAAAGAGAACAGAAAAATTCTTCCATAGTGCCCTCAGATTTTCATTAAAGGAATAGCTCTTCTCCCAGCTAAGAAAAGAAGAAAAGCTGACACAGCAGTGAAGAGTGCATGGTGTGTAGACTACGGATATAATTCAGAATATATTCAGATTAAACAGATAATGTTTTCTAATCGGATCCAAATACAGAAAGGAATAGGAAGTGCACTATTTGTTTTTTTTTAATCATTTGTTTTAGAAGGCTTTCCAGGAAGGTTCACAGGGCATCTGGTTGAGGCTAAAGGTTTGAATCGGGACTGGGATCCTACAGGAAGAGAAAAGTCGAGTGAGCGGGAATGAACAGGAAGCGCTGTTGTCAGTGGTTTTCTCCAGTAACCCGACCTAAACACTGCTTTACTGGGCTCCTAAACAAATCTATATTTCTGTATAAACTGGCCCGAAATTCACAAAAAAATATTATTTTATTTGTAGAACCGTCACTCCATAAAGGTCACAGGCTGAGCACATGGCAGCAAATCTCTGCTGAGGTCTCCAAAAATTCTGTTTTCTGTCATTCTGAAATCCTCCATCATTATTAAAAGAAAATCTTTCCGGAAAATCATACAGCCAATATAATGAAATGCAGCTTAAGGGACCCCAGTTTGACTCGCAGGAACACTGTAAGTGCATCTCAGCTTTACAGTGTATTCAGATAGCATGTAACTTTTCTCATCTTTCTGGAATGTAACGAACCCAAAAACTGAAGTAAATCTTATAGAATATTATTAGGTGGCTATTGTTGTCAACTATAAATAACTTGGGAAAGACCTTGGTGTTTAGAAAGCTAGTTCCGTAGCGTACTCAGCCACATTAGACAGAAAGTTTTCTAGAAAGTTCCACAAGACGTCGGCTTGAGACTGATTAAGGATTTGAGTGATGAAGCTGAGGTTGAGGAACTGTAGAAGTTCAAGAATTGAATAAAGTTATGTTGTACAAATCACTATTTATTTTTATAATTTGTGAACGATAAAATCACTTCTTTCGCAGCAGCCCTGTTTTTCTTCAGTGTTTACAGGGGCGTAGTGATTAAAAAAGAAAAACACTTTCAGTATAGGCCATGCCACACTTCGGGTTTAAATATGATAGAAATCTGAATATTTTGAACACTAAACAGCTAAAGGTACACATAATAGAATTGTGTTACACCCCTAAGACACACACACACACACACACAGTTATTTTCAACCAAAATAATGTATTCTATATCACCCCACTTTTCATTTTCTTATTCCCTGAGGATTAAGATCAAACACACACACACAGACACATGCATGGATAGTTAAAAAATAACTTAACTTATTTTTATAGGTTAAATTTTAAATGTTATTATTTGATTGTCAGAGCTTTCCTGAATTCACTGAGTAGGTTCCGTGTAATAATCTGGAAATAAGTAAATATATATATATATTTCATTACAAAGCTAGAAAACTTGTTCTTGTTCTTCTGATTCTAGTGTCTAGGAAAATGAAAGTAGGTAACATTAAATTCTTTACCTATAAGGAAAAAAACATGATGGGAAGTGCTTTTGTGGTAAAAATATTACCTTCTAAAAACAAATATCAAGTTAGACCCAGAGAGTCACAGTTGATTCCAGAGTAATATGTTTATTTTCATCACGGCTGGAGAGAAGAACCCCAAAGAGCAAAGTGATATATGCGGTTACATAGTTTACCACACAGGGCTGGTGTTTGGTGATTTTTAATGAACATGAATTATCCTAAATGACTATATAAGGGTCCCTGGAGGGCTAGCGGTTAGGCCTCGATGCTCTCACTGTCGCAGCCTGGGTTCAGTTCCCGGTCAGGGAACCAACCCCAGCACTCCCAGTGCCAGTCCCAAGCCCGGATAACACTGGGGAGGGTTTCGTCAGAAAGAACGTCCGGCATAAAAACTGTGCCAAATCAAATATGCGGAACAATGATCTGCTGTGGCGACCCCTAACAGGAGCAGCCGAAAGAAGAATGATCCTAAATGACTATAAATTTAACAGGATAGGAAGTACATATATAGTTATATAGTAAAAATCTAATGTAACACCAAGAACATGAGAATTACTTCATGGCTTTAGGATCCAGGCCTATCCCATCCATCATGCATAGATAAGAGGACATGACTGCAACTTCATTTCCCCTCAGTGCAGGTGTCTTAAATCAGTCCTGATAGAGCAGGACTCCCTTTATGCCTTCAAGCACATCCTCCTACATCCTCACACACACAAGGCTAAATAATAAGAAGCACATGTGTTAAACATCTGGCTCAAAACATAAATGTGTGACTATAGAATATAATGAAGGATTAATTAATATTAAAAAAAATTAACTAATGGATTAAGGAAGGTATGAAATTAAATACAGGTGTGTGTGTGTGTGTGTTATAAAAAAATAATCAGTGTTGTTTTGATGTGATATGACCCATCTGAAGATGATTATTTTCCTATGACTGCACTTCCTGAAGTGTTAAAAATACAATAAGTGGAGAGAGGAAAAGTGAAGGGATATAATGTATGAAAGACGTATGAAACATTTCAGAGTTAATGATTAACTGATGCATTGAAAGGTATTTTTATGAAACATTTTATTAAGCAGGTGATTAATAATCGACTGGGAAATATAGAACGTTACTCGGGCTGAATACTGACTATACAGAGCTTTTTACTGCGTGTACTGCATTCATATCATTTTACAGACTGTTACTGATGTTCATTATTTTGATACTGCAAGAGATAAACTATAAAATCTTACTTCCCATTCAGAGGCTGTTTTTACTGTGATTTTTCCTGAATCTGTTCATACTGAATTTAAGAAAAGATTCACTGTAAATTTATAAATGTTGAAGAACTATGTTACTGTTGTTATTGCTGTAAGAAATGAATTACAGAATGTTACTCAGGACAACATCTTCATGTGTCGTGCTCGTGTTCATGATGTTTTTGAAGAGGTGGGCACGGTGGCTTAGTGGTTAGCACCGTTGCCTCGCACCTCCAGAGTTGGGTCCAAAGATATGCGTCGTAGGCTGGTTGACATTTCCAAATTGTCGTGGGGGTGTGAGTGACTGTTATTGAAAGGCGATTTGTTGATGTCATGAGTAAGTATGCTACAAATAAATGACATTTTAAACATGTCACTGAGGTCCCACCTCCGCCCTGCGTGCGCGGAGTTCGCATGTTCTCCCCGTGCTTCAGGGGTTTCCTCCGAATACTCCGGTTTCCCCCAGACCAAAGACGTGTGTTATAGGCTTCTCTAAATTGTCTGTAGTGTGTGAATGGGTGAGTGAGTATGTGTGCGATTGTGCCCTGTGATGGGTTGGCACCCCGTCCAGGGAGTCCCCCACCTTGTGCTGCGAGTCCCCTGGGATAGGCTCCACTCTCCCTGCGACCCTGTGTAGGATAAGCGGTACAGAGGATGGATGGATGGACCTGCCTGATACATCATGATGCCCTACTTCTGGTTGCAGTTCTCATCGTTTGGAGATTGCTTGCTGCTGCTGGGGGTGGCCCCACATGGACGGCCTGAAGATCAGTGGGATTGCTGGGGATGGTGCCTCTTGGGGGCCGTGCTGATGGCTTGGGGATCACATATGGGGAGCTGTACTGTGATGGCTTGGGACTGCGATTGCTGTAGTGGCTTTGTGGCTGCGGTTGCCACGAGCACCTTCGTACTCAGGACTCCATCAGTGGACAGTGGACAGATTTAACAAACTGGAATTCTTGTGAAAACCGTGATAAATTTACTGGTTGCACAACTGCACTATTTGTCCATGTAGTACACTGTTATAGAAGGGAATTATTTATAATCGCACTATCCGTTGCACCCAGATGAGGATGCGTTCCCTTTTGAACCTGGTTCCTCTCAAGGTTTCTTCCTCATATCATCACAGGGAGTTTTTCCTCGCCACCGTCACCTCTGGCTTGCTCATTAGGGATAAATTCACATATTTACAATATATTTTGATTTAATTTAATTTGAATGTATTTATTTCTGTAAAGCTGCTTTGTGACAATGACTATTATTAAAAAGCGCTATACAAATAAAATTGAATTGAACTGAAATTGAATCGAATGGATGGATGGATGGATGGATGGATGGATGGATGGACATGTCACTGAGAATGAAAGTAAACCATTGAAAACACATTAAAACTTTAAAACCTGGGTAAGCCATGCTTCTTTAGTATATAATATAAACATTTTCCTTCACATGTCGATAGTAAACACGTCGACGATTTCATAAATGTATCTTTTTTTTTTAAAATTAACATCAATAAAGCTGAAATATCAGTAAAGGTGAAAATTCATAAACCAATATATCTGAATTCACACTAATACCCTATTATACTTTAAATATTAGACTTTTAAAATAAATATTTTCCCATGCTATTGATAAATGAAGATTATGTTTAATGCTCATTAGTTTAGAACAGTATGTTTAAAATAAAACAGCCATGAAATGTGTAGAATAATGTGTTTTATCCTGAGCTTTGTCAGGTAGCTGAACACTCCTGAGATCCACCCTCTGTTCAACGGTTTAAAATTAATAATATTCATATATTCATATTTATTCTGTCTGGACGCGTTCTGATTGGTTGTGACGTCACGTGGTGGGCGGGGATAAAGCAGAGACCGCGCGAGCAGCCTGAGAGCTGCAGCTGTTTTCAAAAAGTTGGAGATCAAACGGGGATGTGTGTGTGTGTGTGTGTGTGTGTGTCTCTGTGTGTGTGTCTGTGTGTGTGTGTGTGTGTGTGTGTGTGTAGGATACGAGCTGGATTAAACCGTTCCCTGGACTGCACGATAAAGCGGAGTTTGTAAGTAAGTTTCACTTCTATTTATTTATTTAAACTGCGCGAGCCGCACCGCACTGTGCGCATGCGCAGATGTGGATGTGGGGAATACAGCTGTGCAGGTTGATCACTCGTTTCTGAACCAAACTTTTAAAAGTTTTTTTTTAATACTGTTTTATACTTTCTCAAGCCAACACCAAAGATTGTCTACAAACTTCACTGTCTAGATATTATTATTATTATTATTATTATTATTATTATTATTATTATTATTTTATTTTACAATGTAGTATAGTGCTTTTATGCTATATATATATATATATATATATATATATATATATATATATATATATATTATATATATATATATATATATATATATATATATATATATATATATATATATATATATATATATATATATATATATATGTAAATTACGAAGGGCCAAACAGGAAATAATTATATGAAATCTGAATAATGTAAAGGTAAATGGTGAATATATAAAGGCAAATCTGAATATAAAGATTGCTCAACAGCTTTTTCCCCCAGGCTGTGAGAGCCCTCAACTCCAATGTCCCTGTCCCCCTCTGAAACCTCATCCACAACCCTACCACCTGAAACCATGTACACCTCACCCCCTCCCCCCAACTCTTGAAAAACTGACAATCTGTTAAGTGCAATTCTGAATGTACACTGAACAGTTTTTATAGACACTCTCCCACACAAAGACTCAGTTTGATAATATATGTTTACTTGTGCATTGCACTGCAAATCATCTTGCACTATTCCCCCAAAATATCTCTTTTGCACAATTTCATGTACAAAATACCTCTTTTGCACAATTTCATTTACAGTATCTATGTAAAGTACCTATGTAAAGTCTTTGTATAGTTTTTTGTAAAGTTTTTGTAAAGTATGTATAGTCAACTTAATTGTTTTTCTTAGACTTCTATGTTCAAATTTATGTTTAACTTGTATGTAGCACTGTGGTCCTGCGAGACACGACATTTCGTTCCACTATATGTCCACACATGTAGCAGAATGACAATAAAGCTCGACTTGACTTGACTTGACTTGAAGTTATAACTCTGAATATATAAATGTAAATCGGAATATATATGAATAAATCGGAATATATAAATGCAAATCTGTATATAAAGTTATAACTCTGAATATATAAATGTAAATCGGAATATATATTTATAAATCAGAACATATAGTTATAAATCTGAACATGGAGTTATAAATCATGAATATATAAATGTAAATCATGAATATATAGTTATAAACCCTGATTATATATTCATACATTTTATCAGGCATATTCATAGAGAAGCTCTTAATCTGACTAATTCATATTTGACTAAACCAATAAACATGCTTGGTGTAATCAGGTTTTGTTTTTGTCTCAGTAAAATCATTATTCGTCAACAGATTGTTGACACTTTCCCCCTCAGTGGTGCTGAATTCTGCAGAAAAGCTCCACAGCATTAACACTGTTAACGGACTGGGAGGACCCTTTGGCACTACAGCCAGCCTTTTGTAAAGTAGAGGAACACACTCCCTTTGGTTTAGATAAGTGATGTGCACTTAAAATAATTATATAATAGTACAATATTTGCATTGATAAATGTATACAGGATGTATAGACCTACTGTTTTCATACAAAAATTCAATAAGAACATCTGTCTATTGACATGCCTGATCATAAAGATATATTTATATTGAGATGTAGACAATATATGTTCAGATTTGCATTTATATATTCAGGATTTATAAATATATACTCAGATTTCATATAATTATTTCTTGTTTGGCCCTTCATAATATATTTGTATTATCAGGAATACTGTTAGGAATTTCAAATATAAAATCGTTTTGATTTGTTTAACACTATATTACATTCTGCCCAGAAATAGACATCTATGTTTTTGTTTTTACATTATGACAGGTTTCTGTTGTTGGTAAAGTAACTGACACGTCAACTATAAAAATCCACGTCAATAATTGTTTCAAAATCAACAAAATT